TTGGTGTTTTTTTGTGTGTGTCTTTGTTATTTTTTCTTGTTCTTTTCTTTTCTTTCTGTCTGTCTGTTTTTCTGTCTGCCTGTCTTTCTGTCTGTCTGTCTCTCTCTCTCTCTCTCTCTCTCTCTCTCTCTCTCTCTCTCTCTCTCTCTCTCTCTCTCTCTCTCTCTCTCTCTCTCTCTCTCTCTCTCTCTCTCTCGCTCTCACTCTGACTCTGACTCTCACTCCCTCCGTCCCTCATTTCCTCCCTTCCTTTCCCTCTCCCTCCACCTCCCCCCTCTCACTCTCCCTCCCTCCCTCTCCATCCCCCTCCCTCCCTCTCCCTCCCCTTCCCCCGTCCTCACTCTCCATCCCCTCTCACTCTCCCTCCCTCCCCTTATCCCTCCTTCCCTCCCACCCACCCTTCCCTCCCTCTCCCTATCCCTCACTCCCCTCCCCCACGCACTCTTCCCTCCTTCTCCCTACCCCCCCTCTCTCTCCTTCTCCCTCCCTCCCCTTCTCCCACCCACCCTCCCACTCCCTATCCCTCTCCCTCTCCCTTCCTCCCTCCCTCCCTCCCTCCCTCCCTCCCTCCCTTCCTCCCTCCCTCTCCCACTCCCTATCCCTCTCCCTTCCTCCCACCCTCCCTCCTTCCCTCCCTCCCATCCTCCCTCCCTCTCACTCGTTATGCCCCTTTATCCAATCTTAATACTTCTTCATACTTCACAGGAACCTGATGGACCTCGAACTTAAAGACATCGACGAGCGGCACTTCTTAGAAATGGACGAACTCAAATTAGCGTGCGTATAGAGACAGGGGATGCCGTGAAGTGAAACGGGGATGTAGTGTCCGTAGATTAATGTAGGCTGGTATATCCCCTTCGTAAAACGTGATTTATATTATTGTTGTTGTTATTGTTATTAGGTGAATATTATTCTTGTTGCTGTTTTTGTTATTAGGTGAATATTATTATCGTTGCTGTTTTTTATTATTATTATCATTAGTATCATTATCAGTATCAGTACCATTATCATAGTCATTGTCATTGTCATTGCCATTCTCATTGTCGTTGTTAATGACAATACCAATGAGTAATAGTGTCGTTATTATTGTTAGTAGTAGTATTAGTATTGTTATTGTTATTATTATTATTATTGTTATTATTATTTCTATATTTATTGTTGATATTGTTATTATTATTATTATTATTATTATTATTATTATTATTATCATTATTATGATTTCCATTATCCTCGTCCTTATCATTATCATTATTATTCATTTATTTGACTTTCTTTTAATTAATTTTCTCTTCTTGTTATTTTTTAATATCCCTTCTACTAAAGTTCATGATTCTTTTGATGGATTATTCTCTCCAGGTATTTCAAAACCTTTCGCTACTGCAGCTACGTGCCACGTGTTCTTCAGTGTCTCCCCAGTACAGACGGTAAGTTTATTATCATTACTGTTTTTTTTTATGGAAAAGTTGCTATACTGCTTTTACGCTGATTTTTTAAAAGTGAAATGCTGATTTACTGTTTTTACGCTAGATTTTTTATTTTTGCTTTGATGAAGTGTTGTTTAATCGATTTTGTGTTAGTTTATGGAATTTTGTTATACTATTTTTATGCTAAACAGATATTTACTTCTTTGTTTTATTGAAATTTTAGGTTAACAGGTTTTCAATAACCACTTTATAAAAAGTAAAATGCCAATATTTTTTTTCCTAAATTAAATTAATCTCTTATTTCCTTAATGACAAGTTTTTTTTTATGAAATACCCCTTCATTACTTTCTCGCTGACCGATTTTTGTGAATGAAAATGGTTTTCAGATTTATGAATCAAATACTACTATACTTTTAACTTTGTTTATTATTATTATTATTATTTAAATCCTGTTTTACTGCTTTTACACTAACAGGGTTTTAAGAATGAAAGTTACGTTACCACTTTTACACTAAGTGTTATTTTATGAATGAACTGTTGCTTTGCTACTATTGCGTTAATAGGTTTTGTGAATGGAATATGGTATTACTACTTTTACGCTAAAAGAAGTTTATGTTTGTTGAAAACTAGTATTACGTTTTATTGTGAATGAAGATGCAACTCTTAATTTAACGCTGAGTATTTGTTATTATGGAACAAACAGAACTTTCTCGCCCGTTCATATATCGAAATGCCCACCCACCTTCACCTCCCTTCATTAAAACGCCCATAAACCACGCCCCCTTCCACCTTCATCCCCCTTTCCCTCCATCAAACACCCCCACCCTCCTCACACCCCTACCCCTTCCCTAACCCTCCTCACACTCCCCCCACCCTCACCCCCACCCACCCCCACACCCCACCCTCATCACACTCCCCACCACTATCCTCACACCCCTCCCCCCACCATCATCACACTCTACCCCCATCCCCCAACCCTCCTCACACCTCACCACCCCACTCCCCCAACCCTCCACACACACCCCACCTCCCCAACCCTCCTCACACACCCCTCCCCCACCCCCCCAGGCGTCTCG